AAAAAAAAAAGAAAAAAAAAAAAAAAAAAAAAAAAAAAAAAGAATAAGAATGAAGGAAAGGTATAATTAACTTGAGAGGATAGGAAAAGGTTTCAAATGGTTAACTAGGAAAGTGACAGAGGAAATGAACTAGGGAAACATAGTAGTATTGTCTGGCAGCCTTTCAAACATTTGAATTTAAAGTGAGGCCCGTCAGCATAGTTGTGTTCTTCTCTAGGCACATTTAGTTGTGCGGGTACAGGCACAGATTAGGCACAAAACTGGATTCATGCAGGACTGGGATTTTATAAGACAAGCACAATGAAGTGAGGCAGGGCAAGAATGTTAAGGAAGTCTCTAAGGAAATGATCATAGCAAAGGACTGTGGGTTTTCAGCTAGGCAGGAAGAGGAGTGAACACATGATTATAAAGGACAATGAAAACGTGGTAGTATCAATGGATAGTAGGTCCTAATGGGATCAAAGAATTATTAGAGTCAGAACACTAGAGGGAATGAGCTGGAATGAGAAAAGAGGTGAAATCATGGAGGAGATCCAGCAGTAGGTAATAACAAAAACTAGGGTATGGCCTTATAAGTTAATGATTAAAGTAAACAGGACAGGAGAAGGGTACAAAAACGTTGGTGGGAGAGAGTTCGAGGCACTGAGAAGTCGGTATTGCAAAGATCAACCATGTGGATGTAAAATCACGAAGAATTAGGTTATAAGTAGATTTTCTGAAAGTGATGGCTAGCCAAAAGCTAGAGTCATCAAAGAAATAAATTTGGTGACAGCAACAGGAAGAGGTAACAGGTGATATAGTGCAATGACAGCAATTTTACCGTGGAGTGTTTTTAGGGAGAAAGTGGGGAGAACGGTCTGAAAGTGGCAACGAGGAGCAAGAAAGACCCCTTCCCCACCCAGGCACAATGCTGTAGAGGCTGTGGCAGAACTTGAAAGAGCTGCAGGGGAAGCAGCGTTCTCAGGAGAGAGCCAATTTGGAGTTACAGCATTTAGGCCTATAAAAGACGTATTATGGTATAGTGCTTTATCTGTAGCTCAGCATACCCTGAAAAAAATATGAAGCCCCTACCCGTTCACCATTGTACAACATAATGCCTGAATTCAAAGCATTCCACCCCACGTAACAATGAGACCTTGCTTGAAGGAAAACGTTTTATAAAGAATATATTCACTCACATAGTAGTAGGAAACTATTTCTTGAAAGAGAGGAGATGATGAATCAAGATATGACTGTAAGCCTGGATGAGATCCTGGTTTAAAAAAACCCCAAAAAACCCAGCTATAATTTCTACAAACTACAAAATGTTCAACATTCTGAGGAAATGGGAAAAAACAGGATGGAGGTGGTATTAGGATCTTTTTCACCCCTTTCTTCCACATTTCAATAGATCAGTGATTCTCCAAATATAGTCCATGGACCAGAATTAGATGCAGATTCTCAAGCCCCATCCCAGATTTAATGATTCAGCAACTCTGCGGATGGGGTCCAGCTATCTGGACTGTCCGTAACAGTCCCCTACTCTTGGAAGTACCAATTCAACAAGTCTTCACTTTGAAGAATTAGTAGAATAGTAGAGGGGAGAATAGTTGAGGATGTTGTGGAAGTCTAAAATGATACACCAGGTGAAGCCCAGGATGAGCTGGAGGAATCTTTGCTGTGGGATAGGAATGGAACAAACAAGGATTTCTACCTATTATAGAAAATGACATTTTACAAATACTGTTTCATTGTCTTGCCTTTTTAATGCAAGAAGGCAGGGACATCTCATTCAAAAATTCCTGCCCTTTGCGTTTAGAATAAGGTGCTATTTCAGTATTCTGAGCCTGTATTCTGGAATTAAGACGCTAGCCCAGTACTTTTCAGTCTGAATATGTCTTGAAGTCTTTTACACACCATTTGATTCTCCTGGGCACTCAATGGAGGCAAAGGTTGGCAGGCTTACACTGGCTGTAGAGATTTCAGTTTTTTCCACTTACAGATCTGAAAAGAAAGCACGAAAATAACCATTTAATTGCACATTTTTCTTCTGGAAACAAAAAATGTTTATTCCTTTTATTTTAATTAGCAGTATTACACATAAAGATATGTTTTTCCTCGGGGAGATTGAAGAAGTTGTTTCTGTTTTTTAAATATATATATTCATTTTTAAGCTCTGTAATGACAGAACAAAAATACACACATATCCTATATTAATTTCAACTTTTCTAGTAACTACGTAACTTTAGACAATTCAGTTGCCGTGCTTATCTACAGAATGAAGCAACAGATTCAGCCGTTCAGTTATTTTTTATTAAAATTATAAAATGCCCTTAAATTGATAGGTATGTGAAAAATACAGTATTTTCAGTATTGGTTTTACATAATGCTTGCAGCTTTCATTCTTTGACTAAATATCTTCCAAGTTTTTTAAAAGGAAAAAGTGTGAAAAATATATTGAAAGTATTGTGATAATTTGTAAGGATAGTTCAAATATATTTTAGCATGACATTTAAATATCTTTATGTCTTACAATAAATTAATAGGAAAATACTGGATTGATCCAAATCTTGGATGCCCTTCAGATGCCATTGAGGTTTTCTGCAATTTCAGTGCTGGTGGCCAGACATGTTTATCTCCTGTCTCTGTGACAAAGGTATGTATTGAATTTAGTACTTGCCCACTATCAGTAAACAGTGATTTTTAAAGTTCTTTCATTTTAAATAATTATGAATTTTATGAATGGAAGCAAGATATTCTCTACCATATATGAGGAAGAAATTTTTTGTTTTTAAAAAATAATCCTGTTAAATCTTGACATTTTGATTATGTATTTTTATGACTGGCTTAGCTTGGCTTACTCTACTGACTATGCTTTTTAAATTCCTTTTAAAAATGTAAAACATATGTTTTTATGCACATGCATTCATTAGAAAATTCCCAAACAGCTGCAGTGTTTGTACTCAGTAATCAGTTACCTTAAGTTTTACTGAAAAAGACATCATCATGATTAAAAGAGGAATTTCACCACAAAGCTTGCTATTTTTGGTGACTGGGCACAAAAATAACCTCTCCTAAACATCCACTGGATATTATTTAAAATTTCTTACAAGTATAATTCTATAAACCAAATGTTTAGAATGAATGAAAGTTAGTTTGGTATGTAACACTGGATATTATAACAAGCATTTCTAAACCCTAAAGCTTAGTTCTACCTACAACATATGTTGAAGAAACTAAAACTACATTTCTTTCTTTTTCTGGTTAAACTACCTTGGCCTTCCCAAGAACTTTTCTCATTGACAAAGAACTGATACACGGACCTATTGTGTGTTTTGTCCACCACAGAAAGGCAGCAGCTAAAATATGCAGTGTGTCAGTCCCTCCCAGCTGCTTATCATTAGACTGCCCTCTCCTCCTAAAACGCTCCCCTTCGTTAACTAGGGTGTTTCACCAGCTCATCTCAATAGCCATTCACCACTGTTACCCAGAGCAGAGGAGGGGCGGATTCTTATGTTCCTATGGAATCTGTGGAACTAATGAGGAGCAGCATGATCGTCCGGCTTCCAAACTATGCATGATCATCCTCACTCCCCTGGGTTTAGCCCAGGAATTTTTTTTTTTTGCGGTACGCGGGCCTCTCACTGTTGTGGCCTCTCCCGTTGCGGAGCACAGGCTCCGGACGCGCAGGCTCAGCGGCCATGGCTCACGGGCCCAGCCGCTCCGCGGCACGTGGGATCCTCCCGGACCGGGGCACGACCCCGCGTCCCCTGCATCGGCAGGCGGACTCTCAACCACTGCGCCACCAGGGAAGCCCCAGCCCAGGATTTTTATTTGGATTATCATGGAAGAAAAGGGGAGACTGGTGTGCAAAGAAGACAGGATCAAGTGAAGGAGCTGCACTCCAGTTCTTTCCTTGGCTGAATCAATTCTCCCATCTCTCCTATCCATAAACGCAACCTGAGAAAGACTGCGCAGGTAGTGGAAAGAGCAGCAGACTTGGAATCTGGAACCTGGATTCTAATTTCTTTTCCCCTACAAACCTGGAGAATGATGCTGTGAGCCACCAGAGAGCCCACTCTGTGCCAGGTGCTGTGCTAAATGACAGTGGGCATCTCACATCCTCATAACAACCCTGTCATGTCTGGGTTATACCCAGCTTTACCAACAAAGACACTAAAGCTCAGAAAGGCTACATACGTCACAGGTTTGTGGTTCTCATCTGCAAAATGAAGGAATTTGAATTACTTCAGCTCTAATATTCCTCATGATGATCCTTCCATGTTTTCATCCTTATACTCTTCTTTCTTTGC